ACACATAGTCCCCGGGGACTTTCTGGGTATCACATAGGCATGAGAACTTTAAGGGAAAATAGTTTCCAGGTCCTCAACTTCTATAGGTGCTTTATTTATTTTTGTTTTAAGTTTATTTATTTTTCACTACACCCAACGTGGGGCTCAAACTCACAACGCTGGGATCAAGGGTCACACACTCTCCCCGACTGAGCCAGCCAGCAGCAATGCCCAACAACCTGCAAAGTGTCCCCTTTCAAAATTGCCCTTCTCCCATTTAAGGGAAGAAAAGCATTGTATAGAGCTTTGGGTTTTGTTTGTTTTTTTTTTGTTAAACCTCCAGGACAGAAAACCTAGGAAAAGTTTAAAATAGATGATACCTGTGCTAAGAAAATGAAGGACTAGTGACTGGTAATCTTGTTAAATTGGTTCGGCGTTTGCCAATTTTTGCTTTCGACACTTCCTCGCCTTCAAATAGAAGAATGAATAGTTTGGTAAAAATAATTCGGTGGTGCCTCACTGTAATAATTGTGCATATTTGAGCAACTCTGAACAAAGCCAAAGAATTGAGCCACGTTGCTAGAAGCCTCGTTCTGTTTCCACCCAGCAATGTAAGGTTTCTCTGCACTTAAATCTGTGAAAAAGAAACATAGCAAGCCAAAGGAGGCTGAACCGCGTCTCCTTGTAACTGCGAGGAACAGTCATTCGTGGAACTATGCAAAAGGGAAAAGACCCAGCTCACTGAGAGAGGCGCTAATAATTACAAATCACAAAAACTGAAATCTTATCAACACACATAATATACACCATTTGATCAACTGTATGCTAGTAATTATAATTGTGCCTTAGACCAGAGTTAATACTTAGAGCTTTAGGGTCGCAGAAAATTAAAATTTACACTGATATATACTGACAGATGTTTTCACGGTAGAATGGTCTGATAAGGGGATCAATCAGAGTTACACATAAAAATGGTACATTAGGGGCACCTAGCTGGCTCAGTTGGTGGAGCATGTGACTCTTGATCTCACCTGGTCCAAGAGGCAGCTTTACAGTTTAAAAAAAAAAGTGTATATGTAAATGGTCAGATACCATTTAAGATGAAATGATTTTAGATGAAAAGATAACATGTCTCTGTTTCTTTTATATGAATTAGGCTCTTGACTGGGTAATTGCAAAAACATGGATTCTCATGAGGAGCAATTTTCGTGCATCAGGTCAGTTTTTTTTCTTCTTTAACGCAATAGTGTAAATGGCTTGATCCTAAGATTTGGAAGAAACTCCGAACAAGGAGAGACTGGGGCCAAATGCATATGGTAAGTAGTTTACCCAAATGTCCTAGGAAAAAATTAGTAATAAAAAGAGGAAATAAAAGATCTGTTTCACAGAGGTTGGCTGTTTCATTTGGTTTCACCTGCAGAGAATTTGATAAAAGATGTTACCAAGTGTAGGCAACTTTTAGTTGCCACATAACTTTGTACCAGTGTTTCCCAGTGCTTCCTGAGCATAGGAATCACCTGACCTCTTGCGCGAATTTTTTGTTTTTGTTTTTTTAAGATTTATTTATTTTAGAGCGAGATAGAAAGCACGAGCAAGGGGAAGGGCAGAGGAGGAGGGGCGGGGGGGAGGCGGGAAGGGGAGAGGGAAAGGGAGAGAATCCTAAGCAGACACGCTGCTGAGTGCTGAGCCCAAAGCGGGAATGGATCTCATGACCCTGATACCATGACCTGAGTTGAAACCAAGAGTCGGACGCTTAACTGCCTGAGCAACCCAGGCGCCCCATCCTGACCTCTTGTTAAAAACAGATTCCTCAGGGCCATCACACGCCAATTCCAAGCAAGAAGGTCTGCAGTGGGACCAGGAATGTGTACTTTTTAGAAGTGCCATCCCCCACTCCCAAAGATTTCTTTACATTTTCTCCATGGTTTTAATGACACACATCTAAGGGACTCAAGTGAAGGAGTGCTGGTATTTAATAAAGTTATTACAAAATAACTTGGAAAAGATAGACTGGAAGAAAAAATACTTATGCACAGGAAAAAATATTGTAAGAAATATATCAAATATTAAAATATTAACTGTCTTTATCTTTGGGGGACAGTATTTTTACAGATTCGCAGGCAAAAGGGTTGAGAGCACATTAAAAATATCTCAGGGTGGCGTTCCCATTTCAGAGATAGAAAAAACAAGCACAGAAGTCATATGGTCATTTCAAAACAGAATACCTCAAGAAAATGTGAAGACCAACCACAGAGTGGGAGAAAATATTTGCAAAACATACATCTGATAAAGCACAATTATTGAAAATATACAAGGAACTCTTAAAACTCACCAGGAAAACAACCTGATTAAAAAATGGGCCAAAGATCCTAATAGACACCTTGCCAAACAAGATATACTGATGGTGGGCACCTGGGTGGCTCAGTTGGTTAAGCCACTGCCTTCGGCTCAGGTCATGATCCTGGAGTCCCAGGATCGAGTCCCGCATCGGGCTCCCTGCTCAGTGGGGAGTCTGCTTCTCCCTCTGACCCTCTTCCCTCTCGTGCTATCTCTCATTCTCTCTCAAATAAATAAAATCTTTTTTTAAAAAAAGATATACTGATGGCAAACAAGCCTATTTCGCAGCATATGTCATAAGGAAAATGCAAACTAAAACGAGGAGATAGTACTATACGAATATGAGAATGGCCAAAATCCGGAACAGGGACAACACCAAACGCTGATGAGGATGTGGAGCAAAGGGGCCTCTCGTTTACCACTGGTGAAGGCAAAATGGTGCAGCCACTTTGGAAGACGGTTTGATGGTTTCTTATAAAACTAAACTAGTTCTCTTACTATTTGATCAAGCAATTGTGCTCCTTGGTATTTATTCAAAGGAGTTGAAAACTTGTCCACACAAAAAGCCAGCACCTGGCTGGCTTAGTCGGTAGAGCACGCAACTCTTGATCTCGGGGTTGTGAGTTCGAGCCCCCCATTGGGTGGGGAGCTTATATAAAAATAAAAATCTTTTAAAAAAAGAAAAAGAATAAAAACAACCTGAATTCTCCAGCCAGAGATAACCGTTATTAGCATTGTGTGGCTATTTTCCAGTCTTTTGATGCCCTTAAGAGACTTTTAGAATTCGAAAGAGATTGTGCATACTGTAACTTTTTTTGTCCCATTACTAATAAACAGCAAACATCCCACCATGTTTAACTTAAATATTTAATTTACTTTATTTCTCTTCCTTAATTTTTTTTTTTTAAGTAGGCTCCATGCCCAACGTGGGGCTTGAACTCACGACCCTGAGATCGAGAGTCGCACGCTCCACTGACTGAGCCAGCCAGGTGCCCCAAAATATTTAGTCTAAATACTTCTTTACTCATGTGTTTAGATATGTCTGTCATTTGTAATGATTGCATAGTTTTTCAGTGAACTGATCTGTTTGTTAAGCACTGTGTATGGGTCAGGCACTGTTCTAAGTGTGGATTAAATCTGTACTTGACAATGTTGTCAGCTTCAGGGGTACACCTTAGAGATCTCACAATTCTACACACGAAGCTATGCGCATTGGGAGAACTGTCCTTACCATCTGCCACCATACAGGGTTAGGATGTTAGGGACTCTATTCCCTATACTATACTTTTCATCCCCCTGATTTATTTTATAGCTGGAAGTTTGTACTTCTTAATCCCCTTCACCTATTTTGCCTATCCCTGCCCAATTTTTCCACATCCATCTTGTTAGTGGCTTTTGGGTTAGAGCCATCCTAGTGGTGTGAAGCTGTTATCTCATGGTTTTGATTTGCATTTCCCTGATGATGAATGATGTTCAATTTTTCCTGTGCTTGTTGGCCACTTGCAGATTTTCTTTGGGCAAATGTCCATTCAGATCCTTTGCTCATTTTAAAAATCGGATTGCCTTGGGGGCGCCTGGGAGGCTCAGTCGGTTAAGCGTCTCCCTTTGGCTCAGGTCATGATCCTGGAGTCCTGGGATCGAGCCCCTCACTGGGGTCCCTCCCCCTCTCCCCCCGCTAGTGCTCTGGCTCTAATAAATAAAACCTAAAAATAAACAAACACAAAACATCTAAATAGTTGCCATTTTCTCTCCAAGCCCATCATCCCAAAATAATCCCAAATTTGTGGTCCATCATCACATGCGTTAATTCCTTTAAAACCCAAGGATTGATGAGGGCCTCTGATCATTCGTAATGTCCTATGGGGAATCTTGATGCTGCGCATATTAACACAGGGAAAACAGTAGCAATTTTTTTTAAGCAGGCTCCATGCCAGCGCAATGTAGAGCCCAACGTGGGGCTTAAACTCACGACCCTGAGCTCAAGACCTGAGCTCAGATCAAGAGTTGGACGCTTGACTGCGCCACTCAGGTGACCCGCAAACAGCAATTTAAGGAGAAAGAAATGTAGGTAGTGCAGAGCCTTCAGATATCTAGTAAAATGGCCAAAGACTTCTTTGCTATTTAAACCCTTAACACACATGACGGGGCACCTGGGAAGCACAGTTGGTTAAGTGTCTGACTCATGGTTTCAGCTCACCATGCTCAGGGTTGTGGGATCCAGTCCTGCACCGGGCTCCATGCTCAGTGCGGAGTCTGCTTGAGATTCTCTCTCCCTCTCCCTTTACCCCTCCCCCACCCAGCTCACACTCTTCCTCTAAAAAACAAATCGAAAAAAAAAAACCCACAAAAAACAAAAACAGCCACATACTTACCTCTTGAACCCCAAAAGCCTGATCCACTGTAGCAGAGGCCTCTCGTACTCCTCTGGGCCCCTGGGCAGACCCCTGACAGTTCGTAGCCCTATCAGTCAGCTGGGATCGTGCCTGAGCTACTAGATATCTAGTAGCATGACTTGTGCCTTTTCCTTGCAATTCCGAATTTTCACCCGTTCCCCAACTGAGGAAGTTTCAATAAATCTGCCATTTCTACCGTAGAGAATTTAGGAGTGAAACCCGATGCGCAAAGGACAAGGAAGGTAAACAGTTGCTTCATGTTCAATCAGGACCAAGCCACAGACCAAAGAATCACTTGGGTGTTGCAAAATCTTTATTTGGCTAGAGGCTGGGATGAAAACATGATACACAGCTACCCCCCCCACCCCGTAGAGAGAGCACTAGCATGATTATGTCCACAAGTTTGCCTCTGCAAAACAGCACTTAAATCTCCATCTCTGAAGCCAGTCTGGCCACGTCCCCACAGCACCTCATTTCTGTGGGAAACACGGTTATGCTCATCCTCGACATTAAACGCACACTTGAGTATTTTAGAGGCTCTCGTGATTTAAAAACATTACAATCCAAAAAGCAAAAGCTTTGGCTCCTCGGACTTGAAGGCGGACCACCTGAGGCCCGACTTGTTTCCGAACCATGTCATCTTGGAAAGCACACTTCACTGGTCACTAGGACAGTGTGTCCATCGCTCACCGCCAGGGATGCGGACCCCCATTCCAACCTAGGGAGAGGCGGAGTCGTTTACTGCTTCAGAGTATATCTGACGGTCATCCCAAATGTACACAGTCCACACTGAGTAAATGCACACAGGCTGAGGAGGGCTCTGGAGGAAGACGGGACTACTTCTTGCCTCTAGCAGGCAGGACTCAACTCAGTGCCTGTCAACAGCTCCCTGGTAACTAACCTTACCGAAGGCACGCTGACTCAATGACCCACAGCCGTGGCGGACTGCCACCGGAGATAATTATCTCGATCTCAAGGGCCCTTCCCAAAACCCACCAAGACTTTCCCCTACGTTCCACAGCCGAGTGTCTGGCAGCGAGCCCATCCCGGTAATGCGGACAAGCTTTGGGAGGGCTTGCACAAACTCGTGTATGGAGCCTAGGTGAACAGAGGGTGGAAAACAGACGGCAGAGAGGGTCACATCGGAGGGATTCAAGTAAAACCAGCAAGACAGGGAAGGCCGCTGGTTTGCTCAGAAGCAAATGGTACACTTTAATAATAAACCACCACCGAGGAGCACTGTATTTTCCCCGTCCTATTAGCAAATGCCAGAAGAGCAACTTAAAAAATGGATTTACTTCAGAACTACTGGTTCGCACACACACAAACATATGTCAGGATTACTTGCGGAGGTTTTAAAAAATAGGTAAGTCTGGGCCTCACCCCGGGAGAAGGATGCACGGCGTGGGGGTCAGGACCCCGGCATTTTTAAAAAGCTCTGTGGGGAGTGTAGATGTTTCCTTCTGCTTGAGTCTCTATTTTTAGGTCGACTGGGGTACTTTGGGCTTTTTGAGCCACTGTTTGGGGGTGCGGGGAGCTTTTTTCGCAGATTTACTAGCGGTAGTGAAGAACTTGGCCCCTGGCTTTTTGGTCATCTGTCTTGGGTCTTTTTTCCCCAGTGAAGAGTTTTTTTCTTTCTCTGCCTCTTCTTTGATTCTTGGCTTCTTCCCCAGGCCATTGCTTGGGGTCTTGGGCTCTGCAGCCTTCGGGGTCTCCAAACTCGGAAAGGCCTTTCTCTTCTTCCCACGGGGTGTTCTGGGAGCAGGACTCTTTTTTGGAGACTTCTTTCCTGTGGCGTGTTTTTGCACCTAAGAAAAAGCAGGGAATTAAGTCCAAGGGAAGACAAACCCTGACAATGTCACTCTGAAAACTGTCATCTTTATCATGTCACCCCCAGAAGGGGCAGCCCAATACAATGAGATGAGGGATGGCTTTGCCTTTTGCCTTGCAGGCATTTTGAAAGGCAACTGTTTTCCGTTCCTAAGGACCCTGGTGCTCTCCCAGGTCCAATCAACAGAGAACTGCCTTTGCCTTTCGTGGGGACACCCAAATCACCCACTGGGAGCACCGCAGAGAGCCTGTGCCCCAATCCTGACTCTTCTCCCCCTTCAGTTGTATATTCCTTGCCTGTGGGTGAGGACAGGAGGTTCCCAAACTGAGTGTGTAAAAACCACCCGGGCCGCCTGTCAGGAAACCCTGCTTCCCAAAGGCAGACCGAGAGGCTCTTGGAGGGAACAGTGTCGCACGCCAGGAGGCTGGGATTTCCCAGCAGTCCAGATGACAGGGGGGACAGCACTCTAGCGACAGACGCGTCCAATATGGAAGGAGGTTAGAGAGACAAAAACAGCGAGCAAAGCAAGACTTTGCTTTTCAGTAAATATAAAATGATAGGATTGTTATGGGAAATTTGTAAAACATAGGAAATACAAGAAACAAAATTCTCTAATAACTTTGGCACACTGTATTAACTACCTCTTATTCACTACCTTCCCCCCACAAGTGTGCATGCATTTAAAAGCCAAATGCTAGGGCGCCAGGATGGCTAGGTCGGTTGAGCATCTGCCTTCGGCTCGGGTCCTGATCTCAGGGTCCTGGGATCGAGCCCCACGTTGGGCTCCCTACTCAGTGGGGAGTCTGCTTCTCCCTCTACGCCACCACCCCACCACCCATGCTCTCTCTCTCAAATAAAAAATCTTTTTTTTTTTTTTAAGATTTTACTTATTTGTTTATGAGAGAGAGAGAGAGAGAGAGAGAGAGAGAGAGAAAGAGAGAGAGAAAGCACAAAGCAGGGGGAGCGGCAGGTAGGGCTTGATCCCAGGACCCCGAGATCATGACCTGAGCCGAAGGCAGACGCTTAACCGACTGAGCCACCCAGGTGTCCCTCAAATAAAAAAATCTTTAAAATAAATAAATAAATAAATGCAAGCAAGCCAAATGTTATGCCCTTTCCCCAATAACTTCATTAGTATTTCCGAGGTCACTGAGTATTTCCTGACTGAACATCATTTTAAATTACTCATAAAAACTACTGCAAGGGTCCACGATGTGTCCTCAATCTGTGCCTCTACAGTGAACAACAATGAAACTTCTGCAGGTCATTACCCTGATCCTATTTCCTAGCTGGGTTCAAAGGGCACGAACACTTCTACGGCTCTAGCTACACACCACCCGGTCAGCTATGCCTTCCCCTCTTCCAATCTCCAGCATATTACATCCCATCCCGTGGGAACACACACAGTGTGCTTTTGTTAAAAACAACTACAATGCTTCCAGGTAATACACTGATCCTTTGTGTTTACTTCAAGTAGATTTAAAACCTCAGTAGCACTTGGCAGGGGGGGACCTTTACAAGGAATACTTTTGCCAGGACATGAAAATTTAAACACCCTGATGATTCTAGGGATTGCTGCTACCGGACAAAATACCAAATGGGTCAAGGGCAGGGCTAGCCCTGGGACTGTCACTCCCACATGCTGAGGCCAAGCCTGACACCAGGAACATGCAGGTGTACCCGCGGTGAGGACAGCCCTCTGGGCTCTTAACACCCCCTCTCCTTCCCCCTCATGTTCAAGAGGCCTTCTTCCTAGCAGCTGGATGGACAGTGAGAACGAGGAAAAACCGTACCGAAGAACCAAAAAGTTAAAAAACTCCGTTCCTTTAAACAATCTGGTGAAATCCATGCAGTCGGATTCCAGGAGCCAGCAGGGGTGGGGCATTGGAGAGGTTTCGGGACCCAGCCCAGCACCCAAGCCCGCCCTGGCCCTGCTTGGTTTTCTAAGGCTTAGGACATGGGGGATCCAGGACTCACCCGTCAGCAACAGAACCACTGCTCACATTTCTGCCCTGGCCCGCTTTTGGAAACCATGGGCAGTGTTTCCTACAATTCTAATGAAAATCAAAGAAAATACCTCTGTGTTTCCTTTCGCTGGCGTCTTCCCTATAGGCACCAGCAGAGGGATCTCGTCTTCGGATTCCTCCTGCACTTTAGACCGAGCTTTCACTCTACTGCCCTCTTTCTTCTCGAGCGCTCCTGGCTCCTCCTTCCTGGGGGTAGGGTTGGCTGCCGCGGTACCACCAGTTTTGGGGCCCACGTCCTCCTTCTCCGGGGCCGACGGAGCTTTTTGAGCCTGTTTCATAAGCCTTTTGTTTTTCTTCTTCTCTTTTTGTTTTTCACGATACTCTTTTTGTTTTTGTTTTTTCTTTGCTTCCTACAACACACACACACACACACACACACACACAAAACCCCAAGCACAATTTTAGTAAGGGATACACTTGTCGGCAAATAAATGGCAGAGATTCGGCACTTGCAGTTCTGATTCCCCCTAGGCTTCTGAAAAGTGCCTCGATCTTACCAACTCCGAGCAAACAAACCCCATTACCAGCACGTGAGCGTCGACTCCAGTTTGGTTTTAACTCAGAGCCGAAGATGTTCGCTCTGTGAATTACACGTCAGAACTCAGAACCTGGGTTGCAGCTGGAGCTTCCATGAAAGTTGATCTCGTTTATGGGGGAGTTAAGAATTATCCTAAATTGCAGAGTATTCTGATGTGATTTACGTCTCAGTAAAACAATTTCAAAAAACCCCCCCCCAACTGATCATTTTTTCCCTACTGCAGGCTTGTGGCTGTAAGTAAAACAGTAAAACATTTCCACAGCTAGAGTTCCATTATCCTAACCACAGAGTCCTGTTCAATAACATTCATAACTATGTCTGATTCCATTTTAACCAGCAATTCCAACATTTTCACCAAGTCCTCAAATCAATCTGCTAATAAATGGCAAAAAATTCAGATTTCTTGCTTCTGGTAACAGCAGTCTGTTATTCTGGGTCACCTTCCCAATGAAAATAAGTAAAAAAAAGAGGGGTAAAATATATTAAATTTTTTTTTCCTTAAAGGCATCAAGGAACCAACTACCTGCAAGACATTTGAAACAAGGACCCAGTGGGTAAGTGAGCCCAGAGGCAAATTCTGCCAAGAGTATTTGCGGATCCCTAATTTTTATGTTACCAGGGGGTGCGGGTGGATGGAGAGAAATCAAGTCCCAGTGTCCTCACCAGGCAGGGATTGTAAGAGGAACCTCCCACAATAAGCTGGGAGGCCAGTGAGTTACTCTCGGGGTAAAGACAAACAGGAAGTGGGGCTGTGCAGAGTCTCAGCATTCTTTGCTCGGAATCATTCAGGGAATCTCAAGCCCTGAAATGTGCGTTCAGGGAGCCCCAGGCCCAGGGCCCTGAGGTGCCCAGCAGACAGAAATGGAAATCTTCTAGAGAAAGATCTTTATCTCACACCTCAGATTATTTCTACCAATCATTTTCCCAATGCGACGACCATGCCACAAAAGACAACCAGGTCCACAAGGAGCCAGCAGGGACACAGAACCAGCTGGGACACCAGCATGGTGCCGCTCAAATGATCCGACGATACAACAGGAATGCTTAATGTGTTCCAGGAATTACGGTAAACTGGAGAACCATTTGTAGGTAGGTAATAAGAAAGTAAGAGAAGTAAAGCCAATTTGAAAAAGAAGAAAACACGCAACTTCTACAAGTAGAAAAAAAAAAAAGAAAAGAAAAATTAAAAGACCCAAATTAAAAACCCACTGCACGTGATTAACATGGCTAAAGAAAAGTGTTAGCAAACTAGGAGACTGGTCTAACAAACAGCAAGAAAACGGAATTTTCCCTCATGTTGGCTTTTTTTTTTTTTTTTTTACAATAGCACTGAAAACCTACACTTCCAAACTGAAGGGTTATCTGTTAGCCCAACGCAATAGTAAATTGTGCCCAGAAAAATGTTCTTAATGAACTAGATTTTGGTTTTCCTTTAGCTCCTCTTGCCACTACACGGGGCCCTGCTGAGCCTACTCGGGCCACTTAACTACCGTACCAATAAACACAAGATATCTGTACCCCGAAATGCTTTATTCACACCACTGCTAACGGACCTCATCTGTAAAGCGGGAAGAACGCACGCAAAAGCAGGACCACTGGGAAAGCACTGCAGGTCAGGCAGAAAGGGCATGCGCTCCTTTCCCTGGGCTGTGTTTACACCTGTGACTAAGCCCACCCAGTATGTAAAATCCTACTCACCTTTTTCTTCTGACTGGGGGTGCATAATCCCTTGGCTTCATCCTGACAGCTGACAAACGAGGAAAAGATGGGCAGGGAAGCGGACCTCTCGGTTTTCACATACAGGAGTTTCACGCTCTCCCACTTCTGCAACAGACAAGAATGGTATTACCGGTGTGGGTTCTGGTTCTTTTACACAATCAATCAATGGATGCACTGGTGAGACCGCACCTCTGGCAACTTTTGGGAGAGCCCCTTCGTGACGGCGATGATGTTATCAATGACGTGTTCAACCTCCATTCCAGTGTGGCCAACGCGGATAGTACTGGAATTTAATACAATATCAGACACAAAGATTAAAAAAAAAATAATTTGTGTTTCAAAATAAAGCACAGGCAGGTGGAGAAACATAAATACGTGACCCTCCCCCCCAAAAAAATCAGAGGTAGAAACCTTAAAATCTTTAGGGCTTCACTGTTTCTTCTTTTGCAGTTGTTATATACCACTGATTTTTTTATTTAAACTCAATTAACATATAACGTATTCTTGGATTCAGAGATAGAGGTCAGTGATTTATCAGTCCTATGTAACACCCAGTGCTCATTGCCTCCAGCAACCCGCAGTTTGTTTCCTATGATTCAGAGTCTCTTGTGGTTTGTGTCCCTCTCTGATTTCATCTTGTTTTGTTTTTCCCTCCCTTCCCCTATGATCCTGTTTTCTTTCTTAAATTCCACATGAGTGAGATCGTACGATAACGGTCTTTCTCTGATCGGCTTGTCTTGCTTACGTTCAATCTATTTTAAAGGGAGATTATTCTCTTCGTGTTCTGGCAATGCCCTGCGCCTGAAATTCATCACACCGTGAAGTGGTGATGGAGGAGCCGCTCTGTGAGGCCTATCGGTCAGTGGGCAGGGCTGAAGGAAGTTCTACCTTCATTCTAGAAAACACGGGTCGCAGAGTCAGCCCTCGAGCTTTCCTGAGGAGGGGCCGTTGGGAAAGGAAAGACCGCTAGGAGGGATGCTTGCATCTTCGTGGTCCCCTGCCCTGACCCAGCTGTCATCTCTAAGACCAACAGTTCTTGTCCCTCGTGTAAGAGAGTCTTCGGGCCAAAGGCAAGACCATCCCTTCAGCGGAAGCAGGGTGCAGACAGAAGCCAAGTGGAAAGTTCCTCTACTGCTCAGCCATAGGGTCCCCTGTCCCTCCACTGCGGGAGCCGGAAGGCGGGCTCATGGTCTGCTGGGGGTCGCAGAGTGAGGACGAGACGGGGCTGGTGCTGTCACCTCCCTCCAGCCAGAGACAGGGCTCTGCCCGCTGTGTGCTCACTGCCGGCTGCAAGCACACCCTTGGTTTCCCAGGCGGGAAGATGACAAGCAGTGAGGGAGAGAGGACAGGGGGAGGGGACGGGACGGGAGAGAGGGGAAAGGAAAGAATGGGGGGCGGCGGGGGGAGGGTGGGTGTGAAGGGAGAGCCAAGAATGCTTCAGGAGTCTGTGCTGTCTGTTAGCTGCCCACACGTCTGCCGGAGGAAAAGAGGAGATCGCTGCTCCTTCATCTGCCTTCTTGGTGCCGCCCCCCTCTCTGCTGCTCATCCATCCCAGGCCCCCAGGCCTCCGATCGGCTAGCTCATCACTTCCCATGGGCCATGACTCTGACGTCTGCCTACAACCAGAGTCGGGCCCAGGCCCAACCACCAACTCTTCTCAGCCACTTCATTACAGCCCGTTAAGGGATCGGCCCCCTGCAGACAGATGACAACCCCAGAACCGCCCCGGGTAGCAGCGTCTAGACATCTTGGCGGTCAGTTTTACCATGGGTGCCGCCCCTGGGGACAGAGACTCCTGGGGTATCTTTAGGAGGGGCTGCTGTACCCTACAGAGCCACCCTCCTGGCAGCTACCCATCCCCATTCCACAGATGCCCCAGGCAGCTTATTTTTCAGAATGATTCTGGGGGCGCCTGGGTGGCTCAGTTGGTGAAGTGGCTGCCTTCAGCTCAGGTCATGATCCCAGGGTCCTGGGATCGAGCCCTGCATCGGGCTCCCTGCTCGGCAGGAAGCCTGCTTCTCCCTCTCCTCCTGCTCCCCCTGCTTGTGCTCGCTCTCTCTCAAATAAATAAACAGTCTTTAAAAAAAAATGATGCTGAATATGTTTAAAAATCCCCTCCTCCTGCTCAACTGCCAAGCATTCAAACTTAACTGGCCCCTCAGCCTCATAAAAAAGGTGGAGCCACATTCTCTGTCTAGCTGGGGAGCCACCACCGCCCCAAAAGGTCTCCCCTGATTTTTTTCCCCCAAAGATTTTATTTATTTGACAGAGAGAGAGAGAGAGAGAGAGAGAGAGAGAGAGAGAGAGAGAGAGAGCGCGCGCGCGAACACAAGCAGGGGGAGTGGAAGAGGGAGAAGCAGGCTTCCTGCCGAGCAGGGAGCCCGATGCGGGGCTCGATCCCAGGACCCTGGGATCATGACCTGAGCCGAAGGCAGACGCTTAATGACTGAGCCACCCAGGCGCCCCAAGGTCTCTCCTGATTTCTGAGGCTGGGTGTGGGGGTTCCACCCAGCTCGGCATCCTGAGTCAGAAGAAATCAGCGTGACAACAAAGAGACACCTGACGGCATGATGAGACAGGACGGATAATGAATTCATTGAACAAGAAGTTAAACCAAGGCTGAAGGGGATCTTCCCCGTAACGGGTAGTATGAGCCAGGGAAACACAAAAGCCCAGAACCACTGACATTCCCTAAGCATTGGTTTTGTCCTTGTTTTCTGCAATACCTAGAGGTGCCCTGGCCAACACAGTAAACACGAGCCACCAGCCACACCTGCCTATTTCAGTTTACATTAACTGAAATCAAGTAACATTAGAAATTCAGTTCCTTGGCCACGGCAGCCATGTACAGCTAATGACTCCTATACAGAGCCCAGATACGGACCACTTCCATCACTGTGGAAAGTTCTATGGGACGGCGCTTTTCTAGAGAATTAAATACTTCTGAGGGATGGACCTTAGTTTTAATAGAAGGATCTGGTTTCGTTAAGACGACCTTGTTAAAAAAAAAAAAAAAAGATTTATGCAATTATTATCAAATGACTATAAGACTGGACACGGGCACACATTGTTACCTCTGACCTACCTGCAGGAACCACTTTTAGAGATGTTTAAGACCGTTCCACCTATGCATTCATTGATCTCCCTGGATAAATTCTTGGCTAGAAGGTTCACAGGCACTGGAACTCTGTAAGAACACACAGGTGCTTGGAGCAGAATGTATATACATCTACGAAGTTCACTCTGCTCAAACCCAGTTACTGCTAAGAAACTTACTTCTTTCTGTGATAGAAATGTCTCCCTAGGTGGGATGGCAAGAGCCGCCTGATTCTTGCATCAGTGAGAAAGATGTCAAAACTGCCCAGGAGGCGGAGCTTGGCTTCATAGGCCTTATACTCCTTTTTTAAAGTTCGGAGGGGGATAATCTAGAAAACACAAGGAAGAGGACAAACACAGAAAGTTAAGAACTTGAACAAAAATTAGAAATACTCAGGCTATAACTGTGTCCGGATCTTAAAAATGTCCCAGAGCCACAGTTTAGTGAACATGTGGAGAGCACCGAGCAGGGGCCAGGCACCGTGCTAACCGATGGGGACACAGAGAGGAGCTGGGGCGCCACATAAAGAAAGGACACCAACAAACTACAAACCACTACGGGAAGTGCCAAGTCAGAGGCAAGCCCGGGAATGTTCTGGAAGTGCTGACCTTGACCTACTGGAGCAATCTTCTGTAAACTCTTCAAGACATAAAAGTTACTGATGGGGCACCTAGGTGGCAGTCAGTTAGGTGTCTGCCTTTGGCTCAGACCATGGTCCTGGGATTGAGCCCTACGTCAGGCTCCCTGCTTAGCAGGGAGCCTGCTTCTCCCTTTCCCTCTCCCCTGGCTTGCGCTCTCTCTCAAGAAAAAAAAAAAAAAATTAAAAAAAAAAAAAAAAAAAAAAAAAAAGTTACTGATGTACATGTTAGCTTTTAGGTCAAGAAACCTTAACAGCTCATTCATCATAGAGAAGATGGAACATGCCTTACAAAAGCCAGTGAAAATTAGAAAGAAAAAATTAAATTAAAAATTAAATTCCTAGGGGCACCTGGCTGGCTCAGTCAGTGAAGCATGTGACTCTTGATCTCAGGGTCGTGAGTTTAAAGCCCCACATTGGGTGAAGAGATTATGCAAAAATAAAATTTCTGAATGAATGAACGAATGAATAAAAAAAAATAAAATCTCTAGGAAAGAAATACTAGGTTAGTAGGTAGTACTAGTACCTACTACTAGTAGGTTAGTAGGTAGAAATGTATTACTTATCACTTCAAAGACTGAATCAGATCTTTTAATTGTCCTGAAAATATTAACCACACCTGACCTGAGATATGGTTTTAATTCCATGCTTATTCAAAAGCTTCTTGTAAAACCGTTCTGTCTTTTCAGGAGTTAAATTGGGTTCATCCTTGGTAAGTAAACAAATATCTGTTAAATCTGATCGAATACCATGAGGCAAGGACCTGCAAAATACAGAGATGGAACAGAGGAAGAAAGCATTATAACAGAGGAAGAAAACGTATGCTTCTATTCCACAGAATGCACAATAAATTCAGTCATTTCAACAAACTTCATTCACGCTATTTAAGCAAATACTCTACCAAGAACATTTAAAAATATATCTAGTCTTCAATGGTATGGAGAAGAGATTTAAGATTCAAGTAAATCATCACAAATACCCAGAGTCCAAAATATTAATTAGGGGAGCCAAGGTGGCTCAGTCGGTGGCTCCTGATTCTGGCTCAGGTCAGGATCTCAGGGTTGTGAGATCAAGCCCCACATTGCGCTCCACTCTGGGTGTGAAGTCTGCTTAAGATTCTTTCTCTCCCCCTCTCCCCCCTCTCCCCAAATAAACAAAGTATTAATTACTATGTGGGATATAACCAGAGTTAGAACGCTAACAAAGACACCCAAAGTACTGCATGTGAGGTTATTATTATTTTATATGTTATTATACATGCACATGTACTATAACATGCTAGAATAATCTGGTTTCATCAGGATAGTTCTGGTTCAGAACTTTACCTTGCAGAAAACTCTGGGCTCCATAAACATAGCTCCTTCAGAGCTGAACAGAAAATATGGAGCAAACCAACAGGGACCGGCAAACGTGTTATTACAGTAGAGTCTTATATCGAGAATAAGGTTTCACCCATTTCCTAGGCCTATGTGTTCTGAGGAAACATTTCCTTGGCCTGAGGGGCGCACACACATTACTTGCCAAACACGATGGGAAGTGATACCAAGCCGGGAAGTGGCAAGAATCATCACGAGGTGAGGAGTTGGGAAAATACCCTAGAGAAAGTGACAGGGCTTCCCGGAAAGGAGAAACTGCCTGAGCAAAGGTGTGGAATAAAAGAATGTGTGCGGGATACAGAACACAGTAACTAAGGCAACTGGCTGGGGCAGGTCTGTGATCATCAATTAAGAGAATCTGAGGATCCAAGACTCTTTCCAATTTCTAATCATTCTTACCAGTCCCACGTCCCCACTCATGGGGAAAAGAAAAGAAACCATCTATCCGATATACTTTCTTTAGCACACCTGGCTTTTTTTGTTTTTTTTTTTTTAAAGATTTTATTTATTTGAG